CAGTGAAATATATTTATGTTTGTGGTTGTAATGTGACAAAATATGGAAAAGTTCAAGGGGTATGAATACTTTTGCAAACCACTGTACCTGCACACTAAATTTCAGCTTATCTTATAAAATGTCTGTTTTATAATTTTTTTTGCTTAGGTGGCCATTTTGTATTTTGTATTTGCATTCATATTTTGTTAAATATTGTTCTTAGTTACTATTATACAGATTTCCAGCTGTGTATGTTTAAAAATGGCTGAATTATAGCCCTTTGAAAAATTAGCATTGGCTAMCTTAAATTGGGATTAGTAAAACGCAATGCTTCCGCCCAGTATTTTTTAAATAGCTGGATTAGAGCCATTTGGAATTAGCTGTGGTGGTCATCTCGAATTGTAGGTTTCTTTATTTGTATGTGACCCCACTAAAAACACCATGGCCACCCCTGTACCACCCCTTGCAAAAAGTCTAGCACCGGCCCTGTGTTGTATTTTGAGGCAAATATAAGTGAGCCATCAGGCTTAATAACAGCTGTATAACAAAAAAAAAKCCAACAAACTTTAGGATTGACGTTATGTCACTAAATATCAAAAACCGGTGAAAGTTTCAATGAGAACTTTTATTCTTTTCTCTGTAGAAAGGCACATTTCAAATACTCAGGCATCAATTATGGTATACCCTGCCTAACAGTTTGTTTTTGTGGTGCATAGTCCTGGAAAAACAAGTCTGCGTACTGCAGGATGTGGTCGACAGCACTGAGCAGCAGCACATCCATGTTCACATCCAGGTCCAGCTCTGACGAGTAGTTCTTCACTGGAACTATGGAGGAGGTGGACATACCCAGCAGCGCTCCAGCTTTGCTCATCTGCAAATGCAGAGATGGAAATTTAAAGAGAATTGTTCAACTAAAAAAAGTGTTTTGGGGAAGAAGAAAAAAAGAAACAATCTATTTTAACGTACCGTCTCTTTAATGCTCTGGCTTTTGTAAACATGGCCAATGTCTTTTGCCGTCCCCTGACAAACCTTGTCAATGTGGGTCAGCAGAGCCACCTGGTGAACACCTAAAAAAAAAAAAAAAAAA